TTAGAACTTAGGCAATTGGTCAAGCACTAGAGCCAGGAAAGCAAGTAAAATCCAGCCTCAGACACTACTTATGTGACCAGGGGCAAGTGTCTTAAATGCTGCTTGCCTCAGTTTCCTCAACTGTAAATGGAGATAATAATGGCACCTACCTCACACTTAGCACTGTGCCTGGCACATAGTAGATGTTATATAAATTCTCCCTGTGCCCCCTCCCCAATTTAGAACTGGAAGAGAGCTTAGAGGCAACCTAATTCAACCACTTCATTTTAAAGATGAGGAAACTGAGGCCCAGTGACAAGGTCACAGGTAGAAAGTGAACAAGTCAAGATTCAAACTCAAAATCCTCTCCAAATCCAGCCTTCTTTCCACTATAGCATGCTGTCTCTCTGTGGCCCATATTCAACTCTAATTACCCTAATTCACATCCCTTATGTACTTGTTTTGTAAAATAGTTGTTCTGTTTTAAGAAAATCCATTAGATACAAATATGAAATGACTAGGTTAGCAGGGGGTTGTTTCCATGAAAAACAGCATCATTTACAGAAGTGGAAATTTGCCACAATGTCATTTAAAGAGCCAACCCATTCCTCCCTCCCTCACCTCTACAGAAAAATTAAAATTCAGCATGATTTGCATGTTACTATTCAGGAATACATTCTGTAAATGAACACTGGATAAATCTTTTTTTTTTTTGGTTAGGCAATGGGGTTAAGTAACTTGCCCAGGGTCACACAGCTAGTGAGTATTATGTGTCTGAGGCCAGATTTGAACGCAGGTCCTCCTGAATCCAGGGCTGGTGCTCTATCCACTGTACCACCTAGCTGCCCCCAAACACAGATTTTTTTTTTTTGCTTTTTGGTGAAGCAATCAGGGTTAAGTGACTTGCCCAGGGTCACACAGCTAGTAAGTGTCAAGTGTCTGAGGCTGGATTTGAACTCAGGTCCTCCTGACTCCAAGGCTGGAGCTCTATCCACTGCACCACCTAGCTGCCCCTGGGTAAATCTTTACCAATAATTACGTAGGGCTTTAATGAGGGACCTATTGATAATTTTGGCTTCATATATTTCTTAAAGGGGGTGCACTGAAAATTTGAGGAAGGCTCAAAAAAAATTCACAGAGGGAATGAAATCTTTCAAAAATAAGATTTAGCAAGAAAAGTTATGGGATCTAGAATTATTCAGTCTGGCAAATAGAAGATTAATGATAGTGGCCTTCAGATATGAGGACTTACTTAGGTAGTTCTCCATCTCTGAGAGAAGAAGAGGAAGTAACATTAAGATACAATATTAGGGTTTTATATTCAATTTAGAGACAAAATTCCCAACAGTGTAGATTACTAAATATAGGGGTTGGGGAGGGCGGCTGAATGTTTGTGGAATGTTTTCCAGAAGTCTTCAGAAACAGGGTAGAGTAGGGGTGGGGAACCTATGGCTTTGAGGTCACATGTGGCCTTCTAGGTCCTTGAGTGCAGCCTTTTGACTGAGTCCAAGTTTTATAGAACAAATCCTTTTATTAATATGCTTAATTTATTATTGTGTTCTACCTGGTAGAGGCATATCTGTTGGGGATGGTTGTGTGCTCCTTCTTGAAGACAAAGGGATAGACTAATGTCTCAATCTCTTCCAACCATATGATTTTATCACAATCGTGTGATTCTTATCAAACCTTTTTCTTTTCTTTCTCTACTCTCCATGCTGTCATCTTTTCTCACTTTCAAAATGTGTGCACACCATTCCTCAACCCCCAATGATTCCGCCGTAGTGCAGAGGGAGTTGATACAGCAGTCTTGGTGGTGGTGGTGTTACCTTCCCGAGGACAAGAGTGATCATTTTTGGAGCAGGAACATGACGGAGTGCATTCTATATGCTTTAAAATAGTGTGATTTGTCATCAACTGCTCAAGAAGCATTTATTAAGCACTACATGCCAGGCACTGTGCTAAGCGCTGGGGATGCAAAGAAAGGCAAAGCTCCCAGCCCTCAAAGGCTCACATTCTAATGATGTAACTAACTAGGTAATATTCAAGACACAGAGAGAGTAAGTGGAGGGTGCTCTCAGAGGCAAAGGTACCAGCAGCAGGTCCTGGGAAAGCCTTCTTGCAGAAGGTGGGATTTGAGTGGAGTCTGGAAGAAGCCAGAGAAACTAAGAGGTGAAGGTGAAGGGGCCCAGCATTCTAGGTGTGAGGGTAGACACAGAGACTGGAGATGGAGTATTAGGTGGCCAGTGTGGCTAGACCCTAGAGTGAATGGAGAGGAGTGAAGCATTAAAAGATTGGAAAGGTTGGAAGGAGTCTGGTTACAAGGAGCTTTAGGGGCAGCTAGGTGGTGCAGTGGATAGAGCACTGGCCCTGAAGGCAGGAGGACCCGAGTTCAAATCTGGCCTCACACCAAACACTTACTAGCTGTGTGAACCTGGGCAAGTCACTTAACCCTGCTTAAAAAAAAATTACAAGGAGCTTTAAATGCCAAATGAAGAAATAGAAAGTCATAGGATCAGACCTACACTTTGGAAAAATCATCTTTGCAGTCATTTATTCAATTGTGTCTGACTTTCCCTGACTCCGTGTTGGGGTTTTCTTGGCAAAGATCCTGGAGTGGTTTGTCATTTTCCTTCTCCAGCTCATTTTATAGATGAGGAAACTGAGGCAAACAGGGTGAAGTGACTTGCATAGGATCACACAGCTAAGTAAGTGTCTGAGGCTAGATTTGAACTCAGGAACATGAGTCAGGAAAGCACTCTATCCACTGTGTTCAAATGGAGCTAACATATTACCATCTGCGTGCCCCTGGGCAAGTCACTTTATCCTGTTTGCCTCAACTGCAAATGCCTGTAACTCTAAATCTTTGATTCTAAATCGAGGTCCTTGAGGAGGTGGGAAGGAAGGAAAGGGTTTGTCACTCCTTCCTCCCTTTCCCCCCTGAACTGACTCACTTAATAGTTAAGTGATTTTACCTGTAGCTACTGTGACCAGGTCAAATAAGAGCTTCAGGTGTGATATCCCGGAGTAATTAGAGCCCCCAGGTTGTTTTTATCTCGGCCTCTCTACTCAGTTGTAAAGAGCTCCCAGAAAAGTCAGTCTAGAGAGAAATTAAGTAGGCAGAACACAGGCTTTCAAAAACATTTAATATGCAGTCAAGGGTCAAACCAGCAAGATTCTGAAAAAAAAATACAATTTACATACAGCATATAAACAACCAGATGAACGTCCTCCAAAGACAGAGGCAAAGCAGATTGACTTGTAAATACCGCATATTCTGGTTGTATTTATGGAAGTACGCCCGTCATTTTCAAATCAAATTCACTGCCTCAGCCCTAAGTAGAGAACCTCCTAGTTGCTTTAGGACTCAGCGTGGTGCAGCTTCTTCAGCGCCTCCTCAAGCGACCCTTTGAAGGTCATATGCCTGCTCTGTTTATTCACTTCCTAGGATTCTGTTTTGCGTCAGGGCGTTGAGAAAAAGTGACAAGAAATGACATGTGCTAAGGATTCTGGGAGGTTCCCAGAACTTGGAGTAGATGGATTGGAGGGAGCCCCAGCCCAGGGAAGGGAAGAGGAGATGGCGGGAGAAAACCATAGAAAGGAGACAGATTTGCAAGGGATTTGTAGTATTCTAGTGCTGTAAAAGGTGGTTAAATTTTATAGGACAATCTCAGCCAAGGCTGGGCAGAAACCCAGTGGGAAAGCTAAGACTTACCAGTAGGGGGCACGCTGCCCTCAGAGAGAAAATGGTAGCATTCCAGAGGAGGCCTTAGACTCCGCTCCCCCAATCAAGAGGGTTTTGTTGTTGTTTTAAAGAGGTAAAACCACTCCCAGAAGAGATTAGTTGGAGGGCTTAAAAGGCTCTATCTAGCACAGAGTGGATCAGATGACCTGAGGGGTCCTTTTCAATCCCTTCAGTCTCCAATTCTAGGCAACTGGGAGAAGAGATTAAATAATAAGAGGAGGAAAGGGAATGCCATTTATTAAAAGCAATCTTTGGAGCAACAAACTTTTTATAGGGATAACCATGGCTAACTCCTTGGATTACTGAAAGCCCTAGCCATGTCAAATAAAATATGACCGTTTATTAAGCACAAATGTACACCAAGCAAGCAGTCACCTTTAGATTTTTCACATTATAGCAACTAAAAACAAAAACCTTTAGTGCACCACTTTGTTTATACACTTTGTATTTACTCACCTGTATGTCTTTGTAGCCCCTCAACAGAAGCTCCCTGAGGGCAGGGACTTTTTTTTTTTCTAATACCTAACATTTATTAGAGCACTTTAAAGTTTGCATAATATTTGCAAATATTATCTCACATCATTTTTGTCTTTGTTTTCCCAATGTCTAGCCAAATGCCCTGCATACATTTGGTTGAATTGAATTTATTACCATCTTTTATCAAATACATTTTAGAAAGCTGCAAGGGATGGGTGGGTGGGGAACACTTTGGTAGAGAAATACATGTTTACTTTCTACTAATTAGCTTTGGGCATGCTCACAAATCTAAATAAATATTACATAATATTATCTTCTACTTTTTTTTAGCTGAAGAAATTCAGCTGCAGTCAAGTCACACAACAATTAGATCTTAGAACAGAAGCACACGGGAATTAGGATTCCTCTGCTCTCAGTGGCTGCCACCGGTTGTTTTTCAGCGTATAATTGATTATTAAAATAGTTAAGTGGCAACTCATTTACTCCCTCCCTTCTGATTACCAGAAATACATAGAAAACAATTCCCAGAAAGAAGTTAGGGATTTTCCCTACCCTTTTTGGCTTAAGGAATCAATGTATTCCACACAACCCCAAAGAATGTGCCCCCCAAAAGGATGAGGGTATTCAAATTAGGAAAAGGTGATTGTCAGTCTTCAGCGTAAGTGCTCTATTTATTTATTTATTTATTTATTTATTTATTTATTTATTTTTAAGGCAATTGGGGTTAAGTGACTTGCCCAAGGTCACACAGCTAGTAAGTGTCAAGTGTTTGGTCTGAGGTCGAATTTGAACTCAGGTTCTCCTGACCTCAGGGCTGGTGCTCTATCCACTGCACCACCTAGCTGCCCCCTCAGAGTAAGTGCTTTATAATGAGTTTAAATAAGGCTAGAACTTAAACATAGGCTATATCCCAAAGTATTATTTTTTAAAGAAAAAAATTTGCGTGTGTTTCTGTAAACACTAAAGGCTTCACTCAGGTTTTGTAGAAGCCAGGCTTGGGAGTAAAGTCTGCGCTATGCCACCGATCAATAGGATACCTAAGACCCTGTGCAGCAGGACTGCCTAATTTTTTTTTAAATTTAATATTTTATTTTTCCCAATTACACGTAAAAACAATTTTAACATTCTTTTTTTTCCCAATTTTGAGTTCTGAGTTCTTTACTCCCCTCCACTCCCGCCCCCCACTGAGAAGTCAATCAATTTGACATAGGTTATACATGTGTAGTCAAGACTGTCTAAATGTTTAAACAGGAGAGTGGGGCTAACTTCCAGTGAGAAATGTGTGTATTACCGTGTGTTAGGCTGGATGAAAGCTTGTGGGTAGAGAAGTAGGGAGAGGCACTATGGCCCCTGCAAAGCAGGCATTTCCTGGTAAAAAAAAAACCAAAACCCAACTATATCACATACATAAAGTGCATATTATATATGAAATATGTACATAGGTGTTCATAGATCCAGAACTGGTAGAGATCTCAGAGCCCATCTAGACAAACTTCCTTATTTTAGAGATGATGAAACAGTCTCAGAGGGGTAGCATTAGAGTCCAAGGCAGGATTTAAATACAGATACTCCAACTCCATTTGCTGTACACTCCCCCCCCATCCATGCACCCTTTTTTTTTTTAAGAGAGAAACTTTTTTTAGTTGATCCAATCTTATCTCCTTTTCAAGAGCTAAGGAACTTCTAGCAGGGGAAAAGGATTGTTTGTGTGTTGATTTAGTGATACTAATAACACTTTTAAAGTTCATGTGTTGCTTTTCTGCAAAATAGTCTAAAGTCTTTCACATGTTGTCCTGAAAATAGTCCTGAGATATGGGAACAAGGTGAAGAAAGAAGGATATTCATCCCAGTCGTTTACCCCAGCCTCACCAGGACTTGAGGTTCTGTCCAGTGGTAGTCGGGCTTCTGCTCCATGCATAGATATATTAAACCTACATTTTACTAATTGGGAGAGAGCAACTAGTTAATCACATTCATCAGTCAACTGCAGGATTGTTCTCTGGAATTCTTTGAAAGAAATATGTAAAGATGGATGCCCAAGCTCTACTTCAAAATGAATTCCTATGGATTAAACAAAGTTACGATGTATGGAATCATTAAAAAAGAAGCCTTCCTATCTCTGTGCTTTTACTGTCTAGATATGTATCTTGCCAATCACTTCACACCCTGCCACAAACTTAATTTCTTCAGAGCCAGGTTTAATCGTGGTGATCTTGTGGTGAGCTTTAAGAAATGTCATATAAGGCTATTATAATTTCTTTGGAATGACAACTAATGCCACTTTGTCTACAGAGTGCCTTTGGAAGGGACACCACCATTTCACTCTAGCTGAAGTTCCCATTCTAGTTGGAGAATCCAGGTCAGTCTTTCTGGAAGACATGAGGACTAAAGGAATATCCTCTAGACTTTTCCAGGAGCTAATCAAGGCTTGTGTAATCTTTCCTAACTACACAAGATGGTGTATTATACCACTCTAGGTCATAAGATAATTTTTTCTGAAGAATAACAAAGGATTCTAAAAAGCTAAGATTATAGTCTAGGTTTAACTTTGGAATGAATCTGTAATGGAACTTATGAGCTAGAAATTCTGACTGGAATTATTTCTTTTTCTTATGCTGTATCATCGTTTATTTTGATTATTAGCCAGAAAAGAAAGGCACAAGACATACAAATATCTTTTTTTTTTTTTGCTTTTGTTTTCTTGGGAGTGGTGGACATAGAAGAAAGAAGAGGCTGGCAGGATGGTGATGGTGGCAAGGATGGTGACTGTGATGGGTCTTCTCCATTGCATGGCCTTTCTAGGGTGGCATTGTCTCTATGGGCATTCTTTCAAGTGTACATTGCTCAAAGTAATCCCAAAAACTGGTGGAGCATTGGCACAAATACCGTAGCACAGATGCCAACTGAAGAATATGTTACAAATTTGTACGGTACTTCAATTTCCAGTCTTCGTCTGGCCTCCTTATTCCTGGTGACCACCTTGAACCAAGAATAGAGCACTTGGAGTGAAAGATTTTGCATCAATTGACGAACCAAGAAAACCATCACAATTCCAACCATAAATTTGGTTAGTCCCAAGCCTAACATTTTAGTTGTGAGTGGTGGGATGCTTTGTATGGCAGACTCTGTGGGCTCAGATACCAATTTGAAGAAAGGACTGACCCAGAATCCAATGGTCCCTCCAGCTCCAGCCGCTAGAATTGTGGTAGTATCTGCTCTCGTAGGAGTATAGTTATCCGATACTGGGTAGTTGTAACATAAGAAGAAAGGCACCACAAGAATACATATAGGGAAAAGCAGACTGGCGGACTCGAGGTGATCGATGAAGTCCCATGCTGGGTAAGTGACAGCGATGAACAATCCACTAATCAGAATGCCACCAATCACATCCTAAAGCAAATAGGAAAATAAAAAAGGAAGTGAATTAGCAGGCATGTGTAATATAGGTATGCTTCTGATGTACAGGTTTTTCTGTCTCTTCATTTTTTAATTTAGGAAGAGGAAAATGTCCTGATGTGTCTAATGCATGCATAAATATAGACCACATAGAAAAGAATCTGTGTGATTTCATCCTTTGCTGCAAAACCAAGTTCTGAAATCATTCCAGATTCTATAAGTGGTCATACATGGAGTTTTAAAGCTCAGTCCTTCCCTTTTCATGTTTGCTTTGTTAGTAATAAGGTTGTACACATCATGGCAGGTCTGGACACACACTTGGCAAGCAGTGGATGGCAAAAACAGGCACTAACCATCTGGTTTCACAAATTGCAGAAAAAGTGATTAAGGAACCATTCAGGAAGAGAGAAGAGAGGCCAACTCAGAGGTCCCAGTAATTTAAATGTAACAAATGAGGTTGTTCTTAGAGCTTTACTTAACCAAGCCAACTGCCTCCGCTACATCCCTTGCTTCTGTTAGTGACTTATACCGTGAGCCTCACTGCCACAGGTTATCATGACTGTAAGGCAATCAAAGTAAGTCCTTATTAGAAAAAGATTAGCTGAATATTAGTTTGACATCCTTTACCAAACAACAGAATATTTTTTGTTTTTACCATCTTTTTAATCTCTATCCTTGCCTTCATACTTTCATTTCACGTTGCCTTAACAAGTCCATTATTTATCTCTTGTTTATATCCTAGCATAGTCCTCATAGGTAATAATTTCCTAACTGTTGTCTCTGTATTTTCCCCTCTCCCCTCCTTTCTCATCACCCCCTCCTCTCCCTAGCTTAGCCTCCCTTATATTATCGACTCTTTACCTTAGAGCCTGGGTTATTAACCATTTTGTGTCATGGCCCCTTTTGGATTATAAAGAAAACTAATTATACTGAAATAGTTTTCATATTAAAAAGAAGTCCACAAATTCCAGGTTAAGAACTCTTGCCTTAGAGTATCTGTTCCCTCAAATTCTTCAGTATCTTCACCCATCCTCTCTTCCTTTCTTCCTGACTCAGAGGAAGAGTGTCTTCTGCTCATCTACAAAGCTAAATCCTTTACCTGCGGCTTTTTCTCAGTTCTTAGCCTTCCTGATCTCTCCACAGCTTTTGACACTACTGACAACCTCTCTCACTGTATCCTCTCTCCTTTTTTGGCTTTTCATGATACTGTTCTCTCCCACTTCCTTTACCTGTCTGATTGCTCTTCAGTCACGTTTGTTGTATCATCCATGTACTGCTTCACAACTAGGTTGCCCTTACCCGAAGGTTTTGTTTTGTGCCCTTTTCTCTCTCTAAGCTTCTCTCTTCCCAATGTTATTGGCTTCAGTGGTCAAATCTTTGCAGGTGACTCCCCAAACTATACATTTAGCTTTAATGTCTCCTTACAACCCAGTTCTGTATTGCCAGTTGCCTGCTGGATATCTCAAATTAGATGATCCTAGGCACCTCAAACTTAGCGTGTCCAAAATGAAACTCATTATCTTTCTCTAATAAGCCCACCCTAGTCCAAATTTCCCTTCTTCTGTGGAGGATAGCACCATATTTTCACTCATTTAGTTTTGTAAACTTCACTTTCTTCCTTATCTCCCAAATTTATTCATTGGCCAACTCATCAGTTCTGCCTCCATAAAATCTCTTGCATCTGTTCCTTTCTCTCTCACATGGTCCTCATAACTTTTCACCTGGACTGCTGCTATAGCTTCCTAGTCAGTCTCCCTCCATCCAGCCTTTCCTCTCACCAACCCATCCTTTTTCTAAATCACAGGTCTCAGCATGGGACTCCCTGCTAAAACATTCTTCACAAATAATAAGGTTTTTTGCATTATGCATGCCACATTGAGGAAAATTTAATAGCATTTATTCCTTATGTAATAAATGTATAATGAGTGAGCTTTTCAGTGGAGTGAGCTTTGCAGTGGAGTTTCAAGGGTGTGTGTGTGTGTGGATAGATAGACAGACAGATGGATAGGTGGATGAGATAGAGACATATAGATATACATAAAATATGATATACATATATAAAATATGTATATATATAGTATACATACAAATACACTAAGACAAAGGAACTACTGTTCAGTGATGGAAGATGCAGGATGTCAGAGTCCTGGGAGACTTGTGTTTGAATGAGGACTGTGTCAGAAGACCAAAACTTGGAAAATGAAGATAAGAGAAAGGAAACTGCATGTGAAAAGGAAAAGAAAAAAAAAACAGCAGGGTTACCAGAGTCATGTAAGAAAATCAAGGATCAGTTTGGCTGTGGTTAATTGAATCAGGGAACCAGAAGAGAGATGAATGAAACTATGCTACCATATTGTCTTACCTACTACAGCCTTACCCTCTAGAGTTACCTTCCATCTATTGCATATGTATCTTGTATAGACTACATGCTTTCTCCTCCATTAAAGAGGGAGCTGCTTGAGGGCAGAGATTGTTAATGTGTTTCTTGATATCCCTGGCACTCACTACAATGTCTGGCAACGAGTAAATGCTTAATAAATGCTTGTTGATTGATTGTCCTTGAATCCAAGAGTGCTAGTGGAACCTTGATGAACCCAGAGCAAAGCTGAGAGGCTTCTGGTAGCTAGGTGGTACAGTGGGTAGAGTTCTGGATCTGTAGTAAAAAAGACTTGAGTCCAAATCTGGCCTCAGAGACTTGCTAGATGTGTGACCCTGGGCAAGTCACAACCTCTGTCTGCCTCAGTTTCATCATCTGTAAAATGGGGATAATAGCACCTACCTTCCAGGGTTGTTGTGAAGATCAAATGAGATATTTATAAAGTTCCTTAAAGCACTATGTAATTGATAGCTATCATTAATTTTTGCTTTTCTTTTTCTATTTTTTAAAAACGTATTTCCACATCAGTCATGTTGTGAAAGAAGAAACAGAACAAAAGGGAACAGCCATGAAAAACAAAAAAACAAAAAAAAGTGAAAATAGTATGCTTTGATCTGCATTCAGACTCCATAGTTCTTTCTCTGGATGTGGACAGCATTTTCCATCACGAGTCTTTTGGAGTTGTCTTGGATCATTGCATTGCTGAGAAGAGCTAAGTCAATCATAGGTGATCATCTCACAATGCTGCTGTTACTGTGTACAATGTTCTCCAGGTTCTGCTCACTTTACTCAGCATCAGCTCACGTAAGTCTTTCCAAGTTTTTCTGAAATCCGTCTGCTCATCACTTCTTATAGCACAGTATAGCTATTATTATTAGTTATTATTATTCATCATCTTCCAACTTGCCCCTAGAAACTTCTGTAGAATTTCATGAGGGAAAGGGCACTGAACCCTGTGCTTTTACCATTGGAGTATGAATTCTGAAGTGACAGTTCATACAAGTCTTCCCATGTTTCTCCTAATTAATCGTATATATATATATATAAAACTGTTTATACCACAATATCTCCTTGCATTCACGTATCACAATTGCTTCCTCTCCTAATTTAGATGCTCTTTTAGTGGCAGCTAGATGTCACAGTGAGTAGAGTGCTGGGCCTGGAGTCAAGAAGACCTAAGTTCAAATCCAGCCTCAGACAGTTAACTGTATGACTTTGGATGAGTCAATTAACCTTTGTCTGCCTGAGTTTCCTCATCTATGAAATGGGGGTAATAATAGCATTGACCTCCCACAGTTGTCGTAAATCTCAAATGAGATATTTGTAAAGAACTTACCAAGTGCCTGACACATAGTAGCCACTTAAATCAATCTTTTCTTCTTTGCTTCTGTCTTTCTTTTCTTGTTTTCCTCTCTCCCTTCCCTCTCAGTCCTTTGTTATACCAAAATGTGCTGCTGTAAATACTTTTGTACTCATGGATCCTTTCTCTCAATCACCAACTTCCTCAGCCATGATGGATGTGTTGATAAAATGTAGATCTTTGAGGGCAAAGACTGTTTCAGTCTTGTCTCTGTATCTGGTGCCTAGTCTACTTACTGTCTGACACATAGAAGGCACTTTGACAGACTATACTTATTTCTTATAAGAAAGAATTTCTAGGGGCAGCTAGGTGGCGCAGTGGATAGAGCACCGCCCCTGGAGTCAGGAGGATCTAGGTTCAAACCCAGCCTCAGACACCTTACACTTACTAGCTGTGTGACCATGGGCAAGTCACTTAACCCCATAGCCTAGCCAAAAAAAAAAAAAGAATTTCTATTTGGAGTGCTGGTAGCAGGTCAATGAGTAGTAATTATTATGCCCCTCCCCGTAAAAACCACCAACAAAACATTTAAAAGACTACACAGAAAAAAAAAACACCAAAAAGTAGTACAGATATAAGGGATGCAGGCAAATAAAACAATTTAGTTAAATTTAATTTAGCTTGTTAAATTTAACACATTTCTTTAAAACTAACAACATAATGATAGTTTCTTATATAACCACAAAGAATTTATTGATGACTGTTAAATTCACAATGAAAAAGAAAAATAAATCTTAAATGATTAATGAGGGAATCAGATTCTAATTTCTTCAGAGCCTATAAAGCAGTTAACCCATTAAGTAAGGGGACAGAGAATGATTTCACAGCTTATCTCATTGTTTGCATTATTTTTATATTATAATTAAATATTTTTGCTATTGGATTTGTTTCTTATAGAGAACAACTGTGTAAAGAGAGAGTACTACATTGCTAGCGGGTTGGGCTATGATGATCAGAGGTGATAACTTAAATAAGCCTACAGTGAACCTTCATTTTATTGCTTCTATCAAAACAAATGAGGCCATAGTAAAGTAATATACATATTTCTACATGTAATTTAAATAAATTAAGCCACAGCCAACAAATAGATTAATTTAATTCAGGAAATTTCTTAGAACAACATAAAGCACTTTCTAAAAATAAGGGTTACTTTTTGAAAGCTTGAGTTACTTCTTACATAAAACTTTTAAATCATACATTCAAGGACATACTAAACAATCTTTTTTTGAAGCATATCTGTTGTTTCAGTTTTCTAAG